AACACCTGCCTTCGCTTTTCTTTTTAACTTCACTTACGAGGAAGTCATTGAAACTGCTTTCATTGGCCTCCACCTATAATGTGTGGTACTTCTTCCACGTTAGGAACTTTTAGACGTAGTGTGCCCCGACGACATTGCTTTTATATATGACAAATTAGCACACAAATTAACATTGAGTGTTAATCGTTTTTTGCGCCTTGCCTTGCACCCTCGAATCGTAAAGTCTCTCCACGATTGTCAACGATTCCCTTCGCTGACCTTTAGTAGTGCTCAACTGAAATCGTCGGACAATTCAAACATGACAGCCGTACCAATCTCTTTGGAATCGAGGATGAAGTCACGAACTAAATTGCAACCGTCGAGGCGCTTTTGCCACTACCCGCCATCTGTAGCACTCGCGCGACATCTCTGTCGCTTTGAAGGGTGGAATTCGCAATGAATCCGTGGTTCAGCCATACTGTGCAATTGCGGAACCTTGCCCATCAAATCGATAGACATAAAGAGTCTGCGTGTGAGGAATTTAAAACTAGTTGTTCCCCTTTTACTTCCAAACAGGAAAATCAGAAGGCGTAGATTGTGAGATGACGTCGCCATTTCGTGCATTCCTATCGGTCACAAAAACGTGCAGCAGTGATAGGTAAATGAACGACCAACAATGTCAGAGATCATAAATAGCTCCGGATTTACGCTACCACCGGCCATCTAGTCAATCCTGGTGAGTCCTTCACTGTCCTACTGCGCGATCGGCGGCCTCACATGCTTAGGCTGTCGGAGGCCATCGTCATCGATCGCGAGCGACCGCCGCTATATAATCAAAAATAGCTGACTGTGACTTTAATCCTACGCTGGTTGGGCAAATCCGGAAATATATATGATCTCTTTGACATCCTTTGTTGTTCATTTACCTATCATTGCTGCATGTTTTTTTGTGATTGATAAGAATGTATGAACGAGGTCATCTCACAGTTTACGTCTTTTGCTTTTCCTGTTTGGAGTAAAGTCTGGTTACGTTCGATCGTCGTTGCCTTCGCAGGGTAGCTCACATTCGGTGGGAACACTACGTGAGCAACAAGCGTGTTCGACATCGCGTATTTTGTTCAGAAAAGGTGAGGGAACCACTCAGCGCCGTTATTTCACGCACCAAGCCCCGACGGCTTGGCCACATGTTGCGCATCCCAACACACCGACTCCCATGTCGTGTGTTGTTTGCGCGCCGGGGGTTTGGATGGAAAAAGTGGAGGGGAGTATAAGTGATATCTTAGGAATGAAAAATATCACTTCGAACTTGACCTCGGTCGTTGCATCCCGCCTGCCGGGTTGGGATCCCAAGGGCGATGACACCTCTGCTTGGATACAAAGTATAGCAAGGGGAGCGGTCTGTTCTGGTGGCATGTAACAGGGGGCAACATTTCTCCTACCTATGATTGTTCGATACCAAGTTTAAACTGCAAAACTTCCAAATTAGCCCACAGTCGAATATTACATTGTTCTTCTGGATAACCAGAAACACATTTACACCATCTGTCGCACCTGCCTTTGCACACGTCAACCCTGCTACACTCCACCCCCTCCCATAGTATTTACCCGTGAACCTAATGCGCTCTCACCTAAAAGACACTGTACAGCGACCACGTCACTGCAGTGTTCCACGACCAGTATAAGTGTCTACTTGACCTCAATTGCTGACTCTTTCCTTCGTGGTCTGTCTGTACAGTCGCAAGTATATGAACACGTATATAGTAAATCTCATGCCCGGGCATTACTCAACTGCAAGGAGCTAGAGATCCGGCTATTTGAAGGGAACACAGTTGATAAAACGGAGCAAGTATTTATGGAAAAGAAAACAAAGCAGTGGCGGGAAATTTTAACATATCGTCAACTTGCTCACCAAGTAGAACATGGCACTGCATGGGCACCGAAAAGACACCCACGATGAAAGGTAAAGAAAATAGTGGGGATGTTTTAGAATTAGCACATTTGTTGGCGAAATACTATCCTGTTCCTCTTGAACATTTGGTGACAGTTCAGTTGGGAAAGAAACTCAGCATTTCCTATTTATTTTCACAAGCTCCAAACGGATTTGTGAGCATTTTGACACGAGCTTGGTTGCATCACGGGGATCGCACTCTTAAACAGTTTGAAAATTCCCATTTAATAGTATTAATCAAACGGAAGGAGATTGAGTGGAGAATACTTTTCGGTACCTCTCGTCAGTCTCAAACTTGAGGTGATGTCGATTACATGCTAAATATGCCGTATAGGGCTACGTATTAATTAAAAGGTTTAATTCCGCCTGTAACGGATCGCCAAATCACGCGGTCACTGAGGATTATGTACAAAGGCAAATCACTTCCACAAACAATGATTAACTGGGACACAAATCATGGGCCGCGGTAGACTTAAGGGGCGTACAAATTGTTTTTGTGCACCCGACTCCGACTTGATGCGGTGGGTACAGATAGCTTCCGCAATGTGTAGGAGATACTTCCGAAATGGAGTAGATAACCCTGAAGTCGTTTTCCTAGCCTACGTAATCGCACTCCAAGAGGTGCTGCATGACGGGGGTATTAGTAGACTGCGCTTCGCCTCTGTAAAACCACTTCAGAATGTTTTCGCGTATCCTGTAGATAAATGCGTTGTAGTACGGCCTACGTCTTGTACACCACAGTAGTAAGAGTACTGATAAACAAGCATTGACCGAGTCAACGATAGCCGGTTTCGGTACATAATGCTCACAGGTGAATTACAGATTCTGTTGTGCTTCGTTAAAAGCTTTCATCGGCTTCACATCTTCCATAGATCATCGTGGTTGTATGGCAGCAAGCATCAGCTTAAGTGGCTGATGTACTGCTGTTAATGAGAATAATAATAATAATAATGATTATATACGCAACCTAACTTATACGATTCTCTGCCGTGTATGGTAGTGCATGCTTTGGGTTCTGGTGTCACACTAAAGATTGCGGACACAACCAAGCGGTTCGCACCTTTCAATCCGAACGTCTCTTTGTACAACCAATCTGACCAGTCACTCTACCTCACACGTTTCCATAGACACTTGGCAGATTATTTATTTACTTGCGGCTATCCTAAAGCTGCTTTGAACTTGGCTCGAGAAAATCCGGAGCTCAGCGTGCTCTGCTTGTCGGATCTGTATGAAGAAGCTGTCGTAATCGAAGATGCTCTTCATCGTGGCGATACAGGCCCGGCTCACGCTTGGCTTCAGGAAGCGAATTTTAAACTAAGAAAAAACGAGAGCCATTTCGAGTTTGACCTGCGCGTGTTTGCATTCTATCTGTTGGTTCGTCAAGGGAAACGATTAGAGGCCATACAACACGCGAGGAAACACATGAGTTCGGTAAAGAAATCTGATGACTACAGGGCCACGAAACTTGGTCAAACGATGATTCTCCTGGCCATGAGAACTCCAAAGGAGCCTGAAGTCATAGCGGAAGCGAGTGACCTCACGGAGAAGTGGATTGCTAAACGTGCTCAAGAAGTTTTTTTGGATTTTTATTCCTATCTGGCTCATTCACCTTTTCAGTTGATTGTGAATGCTGGCATCTCAGTCATCAAGACATCAGTGTTACGACCCAAAAACGCAACATTGTGATTGTGCTGTATGCCATCATCTGATCAACCAAGCTGGCTATGGATTTGCCTTCCGTTAGACACGATCACTCCATCCTCACTTGTTATCAAACCGGCTTACCTATGAACGAAGACAATCCACCCATGTGCCTTCCAAATGGCTACGTTTACAGCCAACAATTAACTGTCCAGAAACATATACTTGAATTCCTTGATGGCAATAACTGATTCCCTGTGCGACTTTTGCTTATGGACAACTTGTACAGTCATCTGTCTCCGGCTGTGACGCCACACAATTTATCGTATGATCGGCTCGATCCCTTTCTACGCCGATGTAAAAAACATACCTGCCTATTTTCTACTCTAGCGATATAGTTTTCACATAATTCTTCTTTTCTATATTCTTCCTTATTTCATAGTTGGCCACGACTGGGCTGATCTGTGTTGACGGATTACAGCTTCCAGATTATAAATGACTACCTATGCAAGGCAAATTACCACCAACTGACTGGCGTATAAAAAAGTGCCATAATAGAATGCTCCGCATGACGGACTGGGCTGAGGCTTCATGGCCCATAATACATGCACACAAGCAGCTCTAAAAAGAACAGCACATATGATAAACAGGTGATGGCTCATATGCTACTATGCCACACCGGCACACGGCCAGTTATTGCATGGAAGTGCGGGCGAAACCTTTCGAGGGAATACCTTGCATGGAAGCAGGTCCCCTGGGATGGTTCCACGAGTGGCCGTATTACTTTAACTGGACATCTATTTAAATCTGCATACGTTATTGTTCTTGGTTTTTAATTTCTTTAATGCCTTAATCCTGCCAGTTAGTTTAGTACCTGTTTTGGATCCATTGTAAAAAACGTGAACAACTTGATTATTTATTTTGCGATCCTGTTGTGCACATTGATCAGACCACATAGTTGGACTGCACCTCGAATCACCGAGGAATATGCCATTTATTTATTTATTTATTTTAACTGTTGCTGAACGGCGAGCTAAAGCAGTTCCATTTGTCTGTACTCCAGGTTAGCAGTGAAGATATGTGTACGATGAAACGAACAGCAGCCGTAATCACCTTGACGTTGAAGTGCACGATGGTTCGTAAAGGCGATGCTTCAGTTAAACGCGGTGCTGCGGATAGGCAAATACCATGTTTGTGTTTTATAAATGAGGTATTGTGCGCAGCTTAGCATTACATATGGAAGTTACAAATATCCATATACTGATGAATAAAAATTTTTAAAGCTGAATAGTTGCAATATATGCATTTCCCGCAACTCGACTGTTGCCAGTCCGTGGTTCAGACCACTGAGCTACTGGGGATGGCAACGACCATCGTGAATAAGTTACTAGATGTGATATAGCGCCGTTCACTATCCACTGACTTACACGTTACTGCAGTACAGAGGACAGGGTAGCCCCCTCACCAAGCGACGAGCTTACCAAACTTTCGCCGCCAAATAACTTAGGGCATTATAAGCAGTTTGGTCTGCGTACTGATTACAGGGGAGTAGTAGGGGAGTTGAATGGTATAGCTAGAAATTCGTCACCTCTAAACCCACTCAGACAGCCGCCGCACGCCCGGAAAAGCACTGTACGCGCGTTTCGTCCTTTCGGGAATCATCAACAGTGCGCATTCCATCGGACCCTTGGTAGGGCTCGAACCCGCAACTGCTGATGATCCCCGAAAGGATGAAACGCGCGTACAGTGCTTTTCCGGGCGTATGGCGGGTGTCTGAGTGAGTCTAAATGTGACGAATTTCTACCTATACCATTCAACTCCCCCTACTACTCATCTGTAATATATGAATTTGTAGTTTACATTAAGCGCCATTGATATCGGTCTACAGTAACCTATCGGCGACGATGAGGTGCACAACAGGTGTCAAGCGACACTGAACATTTTACTCACCAAAGTGGCCAGAATAGATCAATTGGCATTAGCTTAGACACTTGCGACACACGCTGTCTCATCACCTACCGATGTGGCCCATGTTTTGTACTTGATCTAAGATGACGTTAGGTGTGAAGATTCTATGGTTGACCTGGATACTAGTGGCGAAGTCGCTGACTTTTAGATCAACCGTTCTTGTGGCGTTTCCTTCAAGATTAGACTCCACGATACCTGCCCTTTGATAAGCTTTAGACTTTTCGGAATTTGGCTTACGACTTGCGTCGTTTGCCGACTGACGCTTATCCTGTCTTTCCTTAGCTATGTCAGTTGCTTATAGTGCATCTGAACCATCCGTCAGGTCAGGTTGCTTATGACGCTGGGCAGTTTATGCGGCAACAAAGCTTTCTGGACGATGTCTGCTTATCTCCACACTACAGCCGGTTATTGTGGTTACATATTGTCGACTAGATGTAGGCGTCCTGTACTTGGCATTAGTCCAGTGTACCGATCCTTTTCTTGTTGTCTTAGTTGCGCTCCTGCTTTTGGTTTATTGCCTTGCTTTGTTAGCATATTACCCGGCTCAACTCTACTCTTTTCGCTAATATGCTGCTTTTCGTTGTATCCTGCCTTGTATATCACCATACTTTTATTCATTGTTAATTCTTATTATCTTAATGACGCTCCTGTTGATTTCTAGAACCTCGCTCCTAGGCACTCAGCTTGTCGTTCTGTTGAACGGAATACTCGAGAAATGTGGCTTCCGCCATTGGATTCCTGGGCACTAAGTTGTGGCATCACGTGTCTCAGCTGTTCTGCGTCGCAATTCGACGGGCTTAGGTTGAACTTCGTCTTCATTAATTGATCAGTTTGAAGTCCACTTTGGCCGTTCAGTTCAGTTAAATAACTATCATCCTGGCACCGTAACGCTTTGAATTCAGCTGCCACGACTCGCGACACCAGAATGACAATAAGAAAACAATGGTGAGAAAATCAGATAGAGCGCAAGCAGAATATAAAGAAGTGGGAGGTAAGGGAGTACTTAGTGAGATTAACTGATATAGAATCGTAACAGCAAGAAGCAATGAGCGGTATGCCTTTGATCGAATCCGGTCCCTTGTTTACTTGTGACAACGACTTTTGCATCCGTTAAGACCGAAGAATGACAAAAACTAACGCTGTTAATGGTGCTACGGCAAACTATCCATTACATAGCCACAGCCTTGGCGTAACCACTCGGGATGTCAATTACCCAGAAGTCAGCCACTGCGCGAATGTGTGGCGGTCAGAATCAGCTGCAGAGTGCATGACCTTTAGAGCCAGCTAATGAGAATTCGCAACAGTTTTAAGCAGTTTCTTTTATAAAGGAAAGTCGATTGCTCCGTAGTGTAATCAGCTACCTTATTGCAATAAATGCTGTGTCTCTCCGGTCGTATTGGAGCTTTTGGCGTGCTCTTCGTCTCTTGATTTGGGCTTGGATGGGTTGGGCTGGGTTGGGAGTACACAATGGTGGTTTCGCAGGATCATATCATAAACAGCACCACAGACATTGTCAGTATCTCATGATTCTCGCTTCTGTCCCATGTGGAACGGTTCAGCCTATTGTCTGTATCCTAAGAATTTTTGGGTTCACTTTCAGTTTTGCGTGCTTCTCGTCATTTTTTGCGACAAAAGGACTTCTCTGCTGTATCTATGTATTGCCTTGCAGCATGCATGAACTTGCTTGCCTTTACTTCTTCCTTTTACATGTGCGTTATTCGGTGCTGCTTAGCAGTTCACAATTAGTTACGTCGTAATTCTTACATTTGGAGAACTTGTGCTCATCATCATCATCATTACGCCAGTTAGCTAGAGGTGCCAAACACCTCTGCTATTTTACCGCAACACAACAAAGAGAAAAAGTAAACAATGCAAAACTTACTAGTCTTTATTATCCAAATTTCAGATTCCATCCAGGAAGTCAATTCCAGTGCGGACGAGAAAGAGGAGTTGAGCGCTTTCTTTGGAACCAATGATGCTACGGATGAAAAACACAGTAGAAGTCCAATACATGCAGAAAATGGACGCTCTCCTGAGTTAGGCCAGAAGCGTTCTCGCAAGATAGTACAGCGTCTGTCGGAAACGTGGAACAAGGCTCATGTCGCACAAGTGGAGCAGCGCGCTGAAGCTGTGAAGCAAATAAACGCAAGTTTAGAGGCTGGCAGGGGCGTTGAGCTGGGGTCAATTCCCCTTATTGAGGCTTCATTGCGAAAAACAAAACCTTTTAACCTTAAGCCTCTACATTTTATGATCTACGGCAGATATGGGGCGGCTTCAGAAGTGCGCTCGAATATTCGGAAATTTCGCGGATTTGCTTTCCGATCTGGATCTTCTGAATATACCAAGAAGTTGTCATCCATCCAGCAGTGCGTGATAGTAGAAATAGTTTGTCCACTAACGTTTCTGATGTAGCCATTCCGTTCCACAAGCTCATGACTCCACATTTGTATTTACTTACGCTCTCATCTGTGAAGGCAAGCGCAATTCACTATTCACTATATGGTCTGTTTATCGCCATATGCAACGCTTCTGCTTCAGTCGTCTCCAATATCTAGCTACCGGTTGTTTCGTTCGGCTACCGTCACTCTTTGCTAACTTAGCAGCATCCTAGTCTGCATCAATGAAACAGTCGCATTGCAAAGATTGCCTTTTCCTTACCCTAGATTTCTAATTATCTTTCGTTGTTATTGTTCCGAATTATGCACCCGCAGGATATCAGTTTGTGGCACGTGTTATTACCAGCACAATCCGAACTACTTACATAGATACATCAGCTACAATCTTCATACTTGTGTTACTCTTTCATTTGCTTCTCGATATCTTCTACCCTTGTTTTCCCGCCATTATATTTGTCATGAGTGTTGACTCCTTTGCCATCTCTGCTTATTGGTCTAGAACCCTGCCATTTTTCCCTCCAGTAGGGTTGAACCTTTACATATCCTTTGCTATTTCTTCATAAAACACTAACGTTACGTTGCTCTCCTTTTGGTTAGGCGCCATTCTAACGAAATTCGCGAAGTCCTTCGTTTGCTGCATTTGGAAGTGAGCGGAACCAGGCAGGCAATGAGCGAGCGTCTACTGGAATTCCTGATTGAACCAAAAACAACCAAAGTGAAGTATAAGGGTCAAGTCGTCAGGAAATCACGTAAATCCCACAGGAGCTCTGTTGATCACACTGGTGGCAAGAAACGTATATCGTCCAAATCTCCCTCTAGCAAAACTGGCTCAAGCGAAATCAGCGCTGGACACGGAAATCGGGAGGATGAAAATGAGGTGTCCGATATTGCTGACTCCTTATCTTCAGGGGGTGCTGCGGCCTCTAGCGACGAAGAACCTGCTAAGGCAATCAAGGTTCCAGAGGTGCCACGAAAGAGAGGTCGTCCAAGGAAGAATACAATCGTCAAACGTGTGGAAAGTTCAGCTTCTGATTCGATATCTGAGCCAGAATCTGCCCCGCCACCCAAAAAACGTGTTCCGAAGCGAGCTATTGCTGTTAAACGATCCGCGCCTCCTGACTCTGATGAGGATGTCCCACTGTCATCCCTTGTCGCTCCTAAAAAGCCCACTCAA